GTGGTTGGTATTTGAGCTATTTTGGGTATTTTCATTGAGGGTAGTTGTGCCCTTGATTGCAGTTAATGGTCTTTTTAGATAAATTACTGGTTTAAATAAATCATCTATTTCTATAATCTCTTTGTTTCTAAAATTTAAACTGTGATGACTATTGGTTAATGCGTAGTTAATCTGATAGGTTATAGAAAAAGGGTGATTTCCTTTTTCCATGAAATCTGTTCTATCTAGTTTGTATTGGATAACTATTGAATTATCCAAGTCTTTATCTTTCAACGATAATCCGAGTTGTATATTAATGTTAAATTTAATTTTTCCAGAAGAAAGATTTCCTTTTCCTTCGGCTATAATACTTTCTTTATAATTGGTTAATCTGTCATCTCTAATTTGAAAGGTAATCGGGGAATCGATACCTTCTTTGAATGTTGATTTTATAATTATTTGGATAGTACTACAGTGTATGTAGGCTATTTGTTTTCTTTGTTTTTCGGGACAATTTCTGAGCCGTTCTAAGATTTGTTCTTTGTTAATAATTGGTAGAATGAGTTCTCCTGTAGTTTGTTCAATCGGTACTGGTGTTTCTCCTACCATTATTCCGAACTTTATTATGTTTGTTCTCGATAATTGTTTCTTTATTTTTCCTAGTATAGTCTGTTCGAAGTTTTCATCTTTTTGAAGATCAAAACTTATTTTTCGTATTTTGTTTAGGTCTATAATTCCATCAAAGAAATATTCTTCATCTGATTGTATAAAATTATCGAATGCAGAAGTTGATGCCATACCTGATTCGCTTTTGTAGATAATCCCTGTCGGTTGGTGTTGGTGAAGATCGTTTCCTCGTTGGTGATCCGGAGATCTGATCGGTTTTTTGATATTGTTCAGGGGTGGTGTTTAGTTCCAGAGTTCTGGAGTAATCGGTTTGTGATTCAAAAGAATTTATTCAAGGCCTCCAGAAGATATAGATCTTCAAGCCAATCTCCTGAGAGAGATCTTTCAGAGAGAATTCTGAAACAAATTCGTTTATTTCACTCTGAGTTCTTCAAACGGAGAGAGCTCATATTTATACAACTTTGGAACCCTATCGGTTAGGATAAGAATCTCTACACTCGCGACACTACATAATTGCACAATATAGATTACAGAGATAAGGTTTCTGATCACCTTATCTTTTATTGGGTCCGACATATTACAACAACTAGTCACATTGTTTCTTTATTTCACATGTCTTCAGACTTTTCTGATGGTGGTTGGCTGCTCCTTTTTATCTTGTCCTTTAGCTCTTTGCAGATAGTGCATTTGTGGTCGTCATACCTCATCAGGAAGCTACAGAGCTGTTCCTTGATAGATTCCTCTAGTCCTGCGAATTTTCCTTCTAAATGATAGAAGTCTAATTCGAAATCTGCTACTGCTTGCATTTCTTCCTTCGAGATAATTTCTTTGTTGTAGGTGATCATTAGCACATTACTGCTAGCATAATTGACTTTGATCTCTGAATCCGCAAGGATCCTTCTTGATGCCTTAAAGACTTCGAGTAATGAATGAGCTTCTAAATCGTCTGGAATCTCATAATCTGATGTATCATCTCTTGGAGGCAATACTCCCTTTGCTACTCCAAGGTGTATTACTGCCTGTGACTGTATAATCTTATCCTTTCCGAAGATCGGGATTGAACTCTTAATCTTCATGAAAATAGTTCTTTCGTCCTTTGCGAATCGTTCAAAGTAATTTCTGATAATTGGTTTCATCTTTCTTGGAAATTCTTCGAATATTTTCATCGAATCAGTGTAGATACTGTCGACTAGTCCATGTTGAAGGTAATCAAATGCTAGTAATGGGTTGGCTTCTCCAATGAAGATAGCCTTTGGTCCGGTTCTGGTCATTTTCGGGTAAAACCCCATGGTAGTGTGTTTTTCCTTGTAATCCACCAGAGACGCCCAATAGGACTGATATTTTTCGAGGGTTACCTTTTTCAGGGCCTCCTTTTCCTGTGTGGTTGGTATTTGAGCTATTTTGGGTATTTTCATTGAGGGTAGTTGTGCCCTTGGTTCAACTGGTTGTTTTTGGGCCATGGTTTTGTATGATTCGTTGAGAGCTTTCTGAGCCTCTTCTTTAGTCTGGAAAGCTTGGTGCGAGACTTTCTTTCCGCTGGTATGTTGCGAAAATATTGCATAATCCGCATATACTCCTCTGAATGGTCCATTGAAGATAGCATACCATTTGTTTGGTTTTTCTTCCACCTTGATGTCGGTAGGAAGTGTTACCTTATCTGATTCTACTTGTTCTTTTTTATCTTCTTCTACTGGTGTCCCACCAGTTGCTTTTATAATGATATTCAGTGATTTAATCAGCTCCTCCCTCTCCTCAAAGAGTTTTGAGAGATTTTCCTGAATCATTTTGATCTGGTTATCTTTTTGACTGATCTGATTCTGGATTGTCTTGATTATTCCTTCCATTCTCTTGTTAGAGTGTCTGCAAAACAATTATTTGCGGACTTAATATATTTAATATATGGTTCAAATTGATGTAATTCTAATTGCCATCGAATTAATCGTCCTTTTTGGAATTCTGGTTGAATTTTATATCTCCAGAATCCTGTTACGTATTGTGAATCAGTTCTTAATTCGAACCGTGTTTGCAATAAATCAATTTTCCATTTCTTTAGAGTTCGAAGACAAGCAAGTGTTTCGAGCTCATGAATTGGATAATTCATCTCAGTTTTTGAAAATGTTCCTGAAATATATTTGCATAATATTGTATTTTGTTTTTCGGTTTTTGGTACTTCATTATTACTGGTACGACCGTATTGGTCAAGATGGAGTAATTCTTTTCCATCTTTTATTGCTAACATGCATCCTGCCCAAACTTCTTTGGATGCATCTGTTTCAATAATCAGAAAGTCTTTGGTCGTTGGATTGTATAATTTTGGTAATATCTTTATATTTTCTTTTATATGTTTTACTAAATTTGTATCTTGATTAGTCCAAGACCATGGTATTTTGTCTGATATTTTCTTTTGTAATTGTTTTCGTTCTTTTGCTAGGGATTTGAGAAATCCCTGCTCGGAAACATAGTTAAGGCATCCAAGGAACCTTTGTATTTGTTTTCTGTCTGTTAATTCGTTAGGAAATTGTTGTATTTTTTCATGTACATTATTTGTTAGTTCAATTTCTCCGTTATTATTTATTTTTAATCCAAGATACTCAATTTCTTGTTGTACCAATTTTGATTTCTTTTTAGAAATAATTAATCCTTTTTCTTTGCACCGTTCTAGAACAGTGATCAATTTTTTAGTGTGTTCTGATTGTGATCC